TGATAATTTCCTACCACTTTGTCTGTAATTTGGTAAGCCCCCCCATTATTATGTTATCCTTCTTTTACTCTTTATAATTTAAAAAAAAAAAAAAAGAGGAAGAAGAAAGGGGCTGGGAATTTAGCTCAGCAGCACAGCTCCTGCCTAGAAAGCGCAAGGTCATGAGTTCAATTCCCGGTACCGGAAAAAACCAAAAAACCAAAAAAAAAAAAAAAAAAGAAGAAGAAAACTTGGTTCTAAAATACCATGGGTGACAAAAAGAGAAGGGGGAAATGTGAGAGGGAGAAAAAGGGGTGACTTCCAAGTCCTCACTAATTCTCTTTGTCCCATTTTACTGCTCCTCTTAGCCTTCTCCTTCCCTTTCCACCAACCTGTTCCCATGAAGAAGTCCTGGCCAAATGAGCATCCTTTCTTTCTTCCCTCCAGCTGCAAGGTATTCCTGCTCACGCCAGAGGCGGATCTTAAAACTGTAGACATCTGAGGGCAGTACGTGTCATTTCTCATCGCTACCCTCCGCTTAGTCTTGCCTGGTGCACATCCCACCAGGCCTTCAGAACAAGGCCTCTTTCCTTTCTTCTTGAGCTGGGGTGTGGAGCCTCACCCAACAAAACCATCTGACTTCAAGTTGCTTTCCATGGAAACCTGCAACATCAGCTCTTTCCATACTTGGCTGAGCCTTTTCAGGTGGCAGCTGCTCCCCACATCTCCGCCATTGCTGTTTGGTCCCACTCACCACCCTCCCTTCAGCTTCCTCATCCCCGCTTCAGTTTCCTGGCAGCTGCCTTAGGTTCCCACGGTGTGCTGGCCGGTGCCACACCCAGAAGATAGTCATTTCCCCACGTGCACCCCCACACCTCATCTTCCGGGTCCATGTACAGCAGCTGCACCCCACGTTCCACAGACATTACGGAGTGCTTCTTGGCTGATTCGATGTCTCCGTATGACTTTTGAAATGATTTGCCCAAGCTGGAGCTACAGTGCAGGGTTAGACCTTCCAAAGTCAGCAAACTTGAGAAAAAAGGACAAAAAGAGAAAGGATAGGCACGACCTACCTGGAGCTGACCCAAGAGGATCTCTGCAAAGCCCACTGCATACATAGCCACAGCTGTGATGCTGGCAGAGACAAAGATGATCCCCGTGGAACTGTGAAGCTCTGGACGCAGGCACCATGAGTTGAGGAAGTGTGGACCGCCTGAGAGGAGAGGAAGGAGAAGCGAGTCTGTGGTCTCACAAACCCTGACAGGACTGGGCACTCCAAGAAGTAATAGGGTTGCAGCAGACTCACCAGCCTTGACTTTGCCATTGACGGAGATGGCTGAGATGGTCAAGGCAGTTAGGAGTACTGACTGAGGCCAAGAGCCGGGTAATGAGCCACGTGAACCCTGGAGTGGGACAGGAATTAGTTGATTCAGGCCATGTACCCTGAATCCCTTGCTACTGCCAAGGAGAGTTCTGAACTCATACTTGTCCCTGCCTGAGCAGTAATCCAGGGCAGCCGCAGGTAGAGGATGACACTCCAAGTGCTCAGCATGTAGCAGATCTGTGCAGCAGAGTGATGGGGGAGGGGGTCTCCAGCATACACTCCACACCTGCCCCAGTCTTCTCCCTTCCTCAGAGATACTCTCCAAGATGGCTGGGACAAAGCTCCCTCTCACCCATGTAGAACCCCAAACTCTGGGAACCCTGAGCTCTACACCACTGCCACAACTCCCATGGCCTGGCCAAAGCACACTGGGGCCGTGCCCGTCCTGGCCCAGGAACTCTTTGGATCATCTCAGGCATGTGGCTTGGCACAGTCCTCTGCACAAGTGGAAGTCAAGCCATCCCCTGAGACAGCACAGACTGACAGAAATGCCACACACCCTCCCTAGCCAGCATACCTCCCACCAGGAGGATGGCTCCTGACTTAGACATCTTATCAGAGAAGGGCAGTCCCAGGGCTTTAGAGGGGGATACGGAGTGGCACAGACAGCAGATACAGTATCTTACCTTTGGGAGGTAGCATAGGTTTTACTGTGGTGGAGCTATGAGGACCCTCTTGGGATGGCTGGCTTCAGTGGAGCTGTCTTGGCCTGTCATCATAGAGCTCATAGCAAGGTCCAGTGTCCTTGCCCTTATAAGTGGATGGCAGGCAGAGGTTGGCCAATGCTGTACCTCTGACTTCTAGTTCCTCTACTTTCTGGTGTGGGTTCAAGATGCTGGCTCCACTGTCTCACTTTGGGAAAGTCACCAGAGTAGTCTGAAATGTCTGACCTGGTAGAGAGATTGTAGAAGCTGGTCACTATCTCTCCATGGTCTGCCTCTCTCAATCAAACCATTTTGAGAAGTGTGGACCTGCGGTAGGTTCATCCAGGGACTGCTACCCAAGCCTGCCAGTTTGTATATGGGGAAGCAGAGACAACTCCTGAAGCCGCAGGGGTTGCTGCGCTGGCCAACTCACCTTCCCACCTACACCTATAAAAGCCACTTACCGTAACTGTAAGGGACAAGCACGTTTCTCTCCCGGTAGTCTGCTTGTTTTGCTAGCCTATCCAGCCAGGACTAGCCTTATAAGCCAGAGTCTGCCCCAGCAGCCTTTGGCCAGCCTTAACTACTCCAGAGAGGGAAGGGGAGGCACGTTGCTGCCCTCCTCCCTAAATCCTTTCCCTTGATGACACCCAGAACTGCCTTGCACTTGATTCCCTGTTTTAGGGCCTTCCGCCCGGCATTAGGTCTCAGGATGAGGGAGGAGATAATGTCCTGGGCAGAGGGTATTGTTGTTAGTGTTCCACCTCATGTGTGAGCTCCCAGCCCATTTAGTGCAGGACTCTGGTCTCTGGTGCAGGGGAGATGAACCACACATTCCACTGGCTGGTCCTCATCCCCATAGGCCAGGTTAAATTCCCAAGATTCTTCCAAAGATACAGAGTTGGTTCCTGTGTACCTTGAGACAGAGGAAGCTCTGGCAACATCAGTCACCTAGGGTAACCCTGCCCTCTGCTCCTTCCTCAACCTTTCTTTTCTGTTTGTCATGGACAGGGTAGGCTGTTTGCTCTTCCTATTAGTATTGTTTGCTGCGAAGTCCCAGCTTTATCATGCACAGAAAAGTCATCCTCAAAGCCCAGAGCTGGCTCAGAACACACATTTCACTCGTCTGCCTCTGAGAGCTCGATTCCCCAACCCCTGCCTTCCACCGCAGCGCACTGTGACAAACAGCCCTGCCTTGGCTCCCTCTACCCCGAATTTCCCTCATTCAGCACCCCAGGTGGAAGAAGGGGGAGTTATCCCAGGGCGCGCTGCAAGGTATTGGGTGTCAGAGTTCGGCCCTGGGAGCCCAGTGTCTAGTCCTCCAGTCCCAGCTATAATTAGCCCGGGGGGGGGGGCACCCCTGGGAACGGGTCAGTTTGGTCTGCACTTCACAGTCCAAGCAGAGCGAGCAAGCAATCAAGTGAGACAGCCAGAAGGGCTGCTGTTCGTGAGCAGGACTACAAGGACGGGGCGAGATGGGAGGGTTCTGGCCCTAGGGTACTGGGTCGCTACACACACCTCTTGCATGCTTTGCTGGGCCCAGTGAACCCCACAGCTGGCACCACACCATTCTTGGGACGCGACTTTAGGGTGGGGGTAGGAGGCTGAACAGAGGGAGGAACTGGCAGTTCCAAGAACTGGAGACGTAGTTCCTCTGACCTTGTGGGCACAGCTAAGACACCCTTCTCTCTCGCCTGCTCGCCTGCAGCCATCCAGCGAGCCTGGGCCATGAGCGTCCCTGCAGCCGCAAGTCACTGCTCCGACCGGGGGTGCGTGCCCTGTCCCGGCCAGAGGGACGGCCTCGCACTCCCTGTGCCTGCCCGAAGAACCCCCTCCTGGCTTTCCTCCCCAGGGGAGGATCCTGCTTTCCTTTCCTTTCCTCTGGAAGAGCCCGGCTTCACAGCCCTGGTCCCAGAAGCCCTTTCCTCTCCAGCTTCCTCCCTGGAGGAAGAGGGGGACGAGGGTGAGGACTCTGCCGCGGAGCCCGAGGCGCTGTGCAGCGAGGAGCACCCAAGCCAGTTCTTCGCAGAAGCACAGCGGCTGCGGGAGCAGAGGCTGCTGCTGGACGAAGAGGTGTCAGTCGGGGGGCGCGTTTATGGGGTGCATCGGGTCATCTTGGCCGCGGTCAGCAGCCTTTTCCGGGGCAGGCTGCTGGGCGGCGGGGGCTCGCAGGGCTGCCTCAGCCTGGACGTGGCTCCGGGGGGCTGGGAGGCCGTGCTGACCTTCGCCTATAAGGGGGTGCTGGGCCCCGCCCCGCGGGGGGAAGTGCTGGCTGCGGCGGAAGCCCTGGGAGCGCCCCGGGTGCAGGCCGCAGCCCGGCGGAGGCGCGAGGGCCCCGGGCCCGCCGCGGGAGACGAAGCGCCGCGCAGCCGGGCGGAGGAGCTGCGCGAGAACCTGCGCGGCGTCGAGCGCCTCTTCCGCGAGGGCGTCGGCTGTGACCTGCAGCTGGAGGCGGACGGCTGCCGGCTGCGGGGTGAGGGTCCGCGGGGGGTTACTCAGTGCGGCGCGCACGCTGCCCGAACGGAGTGCGCGCAGCAGGTGGGCGGATCGCCCCCGGGCGGCGGCCTCGGCCGCGGGGCCACGCCGAGAGCTGCGCACGCGCGGCGGAGTTGTTTTTTCCTAGGCGCTGAAAAGTTTAAACTGAGCCTGCGGGCTCTGGGTGTTTTCCAGCGTAGTATGCAGGGGTTTCCAGCCAGCTGGCTGGAGCTAAGGGCACCGTTAATGGCACTACAGCAAGCAGAAAGTTATTGACTCAAGCAGATTAACCAAAAGCACTTGGCATCTTCTATTTAGTACACCGGCAGGCAGAGAAACAGGATGCCAGACTCAGCGCCCTTCACTTCCACCTCTGTGTAGGGGACACGATGGCAGACTTGTGGGTTCTGGAGCGAGCGAGCAAGCTCTGGTACCGTTTTGCCAGAATCTTAATTCCCTAGGCCATGGCTCCCTGAAGTTGACTGGGTATCGCCAGAAAAATTACAGTTGAATAAATTGATTTTTATTCACATTCTACTACGTGTGGCCCGAGGAACCGGAAACTTACATGTGCCACTCCTAATTCTCACTGAAAACTAGTTAGGTAGACGCCGCTGCCTCTAGGTTCAGATAGTAAACCTTACACGCAGAGGTGTTAACGGGTGACCACCAGGACACAAACCCAAGCGCGTTAGTCCTGCCTGCTCGCGGTGTGCCAGCCTCACCTCTGATGCAGTCATTCCAAGACGCGGGACTAGAAAATGCAGTCAAAACGGGCACACAAAGGTTTACAGTTACAGGGGATTGGTTTAGTGACTGTCTAGTTCAGCTTTTACTTCGTGACATTACTAATGAAGCAATCAGACTCCAGGACATATCCAAAGTCACATAGCTACTGCTCCTTAGAGGAATGACTGGGACCTAAAGGTTTCTGCGACTCCCAGGAGGAAAAAAATGCCCTAGAAGTCTTTATTATGATTATTATTGTTATTTATTTATTTATGTCTTTTTGAGACAGGGTCTCGCTATGCAGTTCAGGCTGGCCTTGAGCTCACTTTGTAGTTCAGCTGGTCTCGAACTGGCAACAACCCTCCTGGCTCAGCCTCCGGAGTGCTGGGATTACAGGGGTGCACCACCATGTCCAGCTTTATTATTATTATTGATAGCACTAGATGGGGGGATTCAGCAATTCATCATTATAAAATTCTCACTAGGGTTTGGAATTTAAACATTCATGTCACTTAAAATCATAGGAGACCACGATGAGTAACCAGTGAATGCAAGTGGTTGTGAGCCCTTTCGCCTTTGGCTCTGAGCTGTAAGTCGATTGGTGTATGGAAGCTGAGATGGCTCAGCTCATTTTTAGGAATGTAGATTTTTTTTTCAAGACAATATATAAGAAAAAGCTATCGCAGGTATTTGTTACTTGGGAAACCCCAAGCCACTTACTGCTTAAAAAGCCAGTGGAAGCCATATGAACATCAGTTACCCAGTGAGAGAGGCAGACATGTCACAAGTGGTCAGAGCAGCATGAATTCATAAACTTCACTACAAGACTGGCCCTCTGTGGCCTGCCTGACTGGACTTCTGGCAATATTCCCCTCTCTGTATTATGAAGCATTTCAAACACATAGTAAAGTGAAGAGAAGAGTGAGGTAGACATTCACTTGTCACCCAGGCTAAACAACTAAAATTTTACTGTATTTGTTTTATCTCTCTCTCTTTTTTTTTTTTTTTTTTTTTTTGCTAAGGTTTAAATTTATGGCATTTCCTTCATAAATTCTCAGATAAGTATCTTAAAAAAAAGACAGTCAAACATGGTGGTGCATGTCATGTATGTAATGTTAGCATTCGGCAGGCTGAGGCAGGAAGATTGGGAGTTTGACCCTAGCCTGGGCTACATAGTGAGTTTAAGGCCAACCTGAACAAATGAAGGACCTTTGGTTTGGGGATGTGGCTCAGGGGTGTGTGTGTGTGTGTGTGTGTGTGTGTGTATGTGTGTGCCTAGTGTGTGCTAAACCCCCAAGTTTGATCCCTAGCATTGAAAACAAGATTTTTTTTGTATATCCACAATACTTTTTTCATGTCCAACAAAATTAACAATAATTCTTTAGTAACTATCACATGGTCTACATTTATATTTTCCCACGTTCAAACAATATCTTTTAGAGTGAGTTTGTTCAACTAAGGATTGTGCTGTAATCACTTGTATGCCTCTTGTTTATCTAGTCTTGTTCCGTGCTCTACATTTTATGACTTGACTTACTGAAGAAACGAAATTGGTTATTCGATAAAATACTTCATTTCCTGGATTTGTTTTTTTTCTCTTATGGTTTTGTTTCACTAGTTCCTTTAGCTTCTCAAGTTTCTGCAAACTTGACTTCAGATCAATGAGATTAGATTAAATAGTTTAGCCAGAATGCTCCATAGATGGTGCTGAGAAGTTCAGTGGAGACCTTTAGGGAGTGTGTGAAGTCTGGCTATTTAACAGTGTTTGTTAATGGGATCGTTTCATTGTCATAAGTGCCCTGCTGGAGACCAAGACATTGGCACAAAAGCATGTTTGCTGTGGCTTGTCACCAGCGGCAGCAGATGGTCATGAATTGCCTAAGTAGCCACTGCACGGAGGTAGAAAACAAGCCACAGTCCTTCTCTGGGACACAGATTTTCTTACCTTAAAAGCAGTAATTGAACTAGATGATTTTGAAGGTTGAAGTTTCAAATCTCATAGTTTCATAAACTGTACCAAGTAGGGGAGAGGACAGTGTGGAGAAAAGCTGGGACACTGGGAAAACCTGAAGTTGTAAATCTTAGGCAAGAGGGGATGGCCATCATGATGTTAGGTTTCAGCCCTCCTTTTTCATGTTTACCTTTTTCCCTTTGGGGAGGGACTGAACTCAAGGCCTTGAGTATGCTGGGTAAGCAGTCTGCCTACCCCTGAGCCACACCCACAGCCCTGTTCTCTCACTCACTCATTTATTCATTTATGTACTTAGGTTGGGGGGTGGTACTGGGGATTGAACCCAGGGAGCACTGAGCTATATCCCCAGCCCTTTTTATTTACTTATTTATTTCCTGAAGCACATTCTCATTAAATTGCCCAGGCTGGCCTCAAACTTGCAATCCTCCTTCTTTAGAGTCCCATGTAGTTGGGATTACAGGTGTGTGCTGTCATGCACTGTGGAGGTACAGATGTTCTTGAGGGCTCCTTTCCCAATAAAGTCTAACAGAATGGCTGACGGCGTGGCTTCCACAACCCTACTTTATTCTGCACACAGTATATTGACACTGCATAAGTTGCACATTGGTTTTTCTAGTTTATTTTGTGCTGCTTTTTCATAAATGCTGTCTCTAGCGTCTTTTCAATTTGATCCATTTAGACTTTTTCTGCCAGATGTGGTTTACATGTGTAGTCCCAGCCCTCAGGAGGCAGAGGCAGGAGAATCTCAGTGAGTTCAAGGCTAGCCTGTACTACATAGTGAGATCTGTCTCAAAAAAAAAAACCCCAGAAAACCACAATTTATTAAAATTGACCTGAACTCAAAAAACTAAAGCATATGCAGGCTATTAACATGAGAATCGTTGCTTTAAAATGTTAGCCTACAAATTCCTACTAAATCAGAGCCCTGAGGGATGGGCCCTGAAAGCTGCATTCTACAAATACCCCATGATTTTCCAGTGCACACCATGGTTTGACTGTGCCGTTGGGTGCTTGGCCCACAGTTGGGATTGCTTAGCAGTGTTGCCACACCGTGGGTCTTCCTCTGCTTCTTCTCTCCTGCAGTGCACCGAGCAGCCCTGGCCTGTGGCAGTGAGTTCTTTGGGGCCATGCTCCTGAGTGGAATGAGAGAATCCCAAGGCACTGAGGTATCTCTGAGCACCATGTCTTCCCAGGACTTGCGACTCCTTGTCTCTTTCGCCTACTCTGGGGTAGTGTGGGCAAGGTGGCCAGGACTTCTGAGAGCTGCCCAGGCTGCCCTGCAGTACCAAAGTTCTTCCTGCCTGCATCTGTGTAGTAAGGCCTTGGTGAGAGGCCTCAACCCTGCCCGTTGCCTGGCCTTGTTCCCCGTGGCTGAAGCCCCCGGGTTGGAGAAGCTCTGGAGTAAAGCTCGTCACTATCTCCTCAGCCACCTGCCTGCTGTGGCTTTGTGCCCTGCTTTTCCTTCTTTACCAGCTGCCTGCCTGGCTGAGCTCCTGGATAGCGACGAGCTCCATGTGCAGGAGGAGTTTGAGGCCTTCGTGGCTGCGCGGTGTTGGTTAGCTGCCAACCCTGAGACACAGGAGTCTGAGGCCAAGGCTCTGCTGCGATGTGTCCGCTTCGGCCGTATGTCTACCCGAGAGCTGAGAAAAGTGCGGGCAGCTGGGCTCCCCACATCCCTGCCCCCAGACTTGCTGTACCAGTTGATGGTGGAGGCTGAGGTTCCAGGTCGAGAGAGGTGGAGAAAGCCTGACCAGGCACTGGTGGTGATTGGTGGGGATGAGCTCAGACCTGACATGGCCCGAAGACAGGCTTCTCAGAAAGTGTGGTGGGCCAGGGCCTTCCACTGTGGCATGGGACTGGTACGAACTGTGGAGTGGGGACAGTTGCCTGCCCTGCCTGCCCCAGGCCGCTTCCGGCATGGAGCTGCGAGCCTGGCGGGAAGTGAACTCTATGTGTGTGGGGGTCAGGATTTCTACAGCCACTGCAACACTCTGGCTTCAACTCTCAGGTATGAGCCTTTCAGAATGGGCAGGGTACGGCAGGCCCCAAGGCAGGCGTGTGAGAGAAATTGATGACCCAGACAACCACAGGATCCCAAGGTCAGTCTTCCCATCTCTTTTCTCACTGTTTCCAGGTGGGACCCCAGTCAAGAGGACTGGGAAGAGCGGGCACCTTTGTGCCAGGCTCGGAGTTTGTTCCCTCTGGTGGCACTGGATGGACAACTTTATGCCCTGGGCGGACGACATAATGGTGTTGCCCTTAACTCTGTGGAGACCTACAATCCTGAGCTCAATACCTGGAGGTAAGTGGAAGAGGTTGCATTCAGGGGAAAGCTACACTTTGGAATAGAAGAGGGCTGAAAACGCCAGCTGCCTGATCTTGTGTCCGGTTCTGCCTTAGGTCAGCTCCTGTGCTTCCAGCCCCGCGCTTTGCCCATGCAGCTGCCATCTTGGAAGGCCGACTGTACCTGAGTGGTGGCTGTAGTGGAGCTGGCCATTACTTGGCCTCATTGCTGCACTATGACCCCAAAGTGGAGAAGCCAGGAGCGCTTCTGAGTCCAATGGGGATACCTCGGGCTGGCCATGTCATGGCTGCTCTGGGTGGGCGGTTGTATGTTGCCGGTGGGCTAGGTGAGACGGGGGATCTGTTGAGCTTTGAGGCCTATGAGCCAAGGACCAATAGCTGGACTCACTTGGCACCTCTGCCATCCCCCCATGTGGGTGCTGCAGGTGCCGTGCTGCAGGGAGAGTTACTGGTGATAGGGGGCTACAGCCACCGTACTTACGCCCTCTCCCACCTGATCCATGCTTACTGTCCTGGACTGGGCCGATGGTTGTGCCTGGGAACTTTGCCAAGGCCTCGGGCTGAAATGCCTGCCTGCATCCTGACACTGCCCACGGTGCAGCACACTGCTTTAGCTCCCACCCTGCACCAAACGAAACCTGCTGGGTGACAGGAAAATAGAAATGTATGGAGAGAGGAAGGGATATCATGAAAAACAGACAGAGATTATGAAAGTGTGATTACTATTCTTGATAGTATTTTTACACAGTGGTAGACAACTCTTAAGCTACTTTTATATATATATGATATCCATGGAGAGAAAGTGATTCCAGCACTCCTGGGGGAAGAGCTTTGGGGAAGGAGAGACAACTGAGTATTTGGGATTTGTGTTTGTTCATTTTTTGAGACAGGATCTTACGATGTAGTTCAGGCTGGCCTTGAACACTGTAGCCTCACTGCCTCCTACCTCAGCCTCCAAAATGCTGGGATCACAGGTGAGTGCCACTATGCTCAGTGGTAGCTGAATAGTAGGATAAGAGAAGAGGCTGGGGCAGGAGGATCACCTAGAGTTGGAGGCCAACCTGGGCTACACAGTAAGTTCAAGGCCAGTCTGAACTACATAGCAAGACCCCATCTAAACAGACACAAACAAACAAACAAAAAATAGTGATGTAGGAGTAGTCCTCTAAGACTTAGGGATTCTTGAGAGGAGAGGTCCATCTGGTTGGACGAGAGTCAAGAATATCCAGTATGGAGTGGGAATGTACCTCATTGATAGAGCATCTGCTCAGCATGCATGAACATCTGGGTTCAGTCCCTGGCACATACAAACACACACACACACACACACACACACACACACACACGAAACCAAAGCTTAGGGGTCCTAAGAGGACAGTTGGAAAATTATTCTAATCCATGGATCAAAGAGAAAAATACAAGCCACTTCTAGTCTAATCCATGGTAGCACGTGCTTGAAATCCCAGCCACTCCAGAGGCTGAGGCAGAATCACAAATTTGAGGCTAGCTTGTGCAATTTAGTGAGACCTTGTCTCGAAATAAAATGAAAAGAGGCTAGGGGCGTAAGTCAGTGGTAGAGCTCTTTCCTGGAATGTTCAAGGCCCTGGGTTCTTCAAACCTTAGCGCTAGAGGCGGGTGGGGAGAGGAAAGAAAGGGAAGGAGAGAGAGGGAAGAAAAGCAGAGAAGGATAGGGGGAGGGAGGGAGAGAGAGAAGGAAAGAGGGAGAATTGTGGAAAGGCCATCCATGAGTTTGAGGAATATGGGGGGAATTGTTCAGCAATTTCTTTCCAAGCGTTTATTCCTCTTACTCTCCCACCCTGGCATGTGTAACCCCTCTTGGCAAGGCTTTTGACCCAGGTGATTTTGTGTGTGCCTCCAGCGTTTCTCAGCCCAGACTCCACAGGCTGCCCCTGAGGCCTTTTGGTTTCCATCTGAGGCCCACGTTCCCGTCACAGCGAAGGGGCCTGAGGTGCATGATGGACCTTCAGGGCCATGAATGGGAACACTGTATGCGGGCTGAGGAGGGCAGAGGCTGTGGAGGGAGGCACCTCAGGTGGACAAGGAATGCTAGAAGGTTTGGGGCTGGGGTGCAGGAAGGCAGACATCCTGCTTTCTTTCCCTTGGATGAACTGGAGGATCAAGAACAGTCATGGTGTGAGGTCCTCAGGCACGATTGGAAGTGGCTGAGAGAAGAGCAAAAGGTAGGGGAGGCCGGGCATGGTGGCACATGCCTATAATCCCAGCACTCGGGAGGCTGGGGCAGGAGGATCCTTGTGAGTTTGAGACCAGCCTGGGCTACAAAGTGAGCTCAAGACCAGCCTGAACTGCATAGCAAAACTCTGTCTCAAAAAGACAAAGAAAGAAAAAAGAAAGGTAGGGAAGACTTGGAAGAGCCACTTTCCATCGATCCCTTTTCTGTTCTGTTTTTAATGCAGTTCCGTTTCTTGCCTGGGAAGATTTCATCAGACACTTGCTCTCCCCCTTGCTCTATCCTGTTCTTCCTCCTGAGTGTTTTTGTTCTGTCTTTGTTTTTCACCTGTGTTCTCCTTCCTTGCCTAGCATGAGCCAGGCACTCTATGAGGCACAAGGATGTGCAGGTCAGAGAGCCCCTGGCAGAGGACAGATTCATGAACCATGCAAGTGCAGTGGTGAACTTAAAGCATGAGAGTCCTGTGAAAGCTAAGAGGATGCAGGCATGAACTGGACCCGCAGAGCTTCCAAGAGAGAAGCCACCACCTAGACAGATGTGGTTTGAACTGAACCTTAAGGGCTGCTTAGAAATGCACCACCAGGGCATACTCTGCCTTCTCCCTCTGGCCAGACTGTTATCTCCAAAGAGGAGCCCTGCGTAATCATGACTATAGAGGAAAAAGTAAACAGCCTGTTGCTGGACACTGGTGCTAGTCTCTTGGTCCTTCTTTTCAATCCTGGCCTTCCTTCCAGCTGTCACACCTCAGTGAAAGGAGTCACTGATGAGGAGGTAATCTGCTATTTTTCACAACACTTAGGCTGTAACTACTTTTAGATCTTTCTTGCATATCTTTGTTTTCCTGAGAAACCACTTTGAAGATACCAATATGTATTACAGCAGCCATTGATAATTTCCTACCAATCTGTCCAAAACTCTGTAATGTTTGTATTGTTCCTATGCTGTTTTGTAAATGGATATATGTTTATTACTATGTGTTTTCAACAACCATTGAGAATAGTCAATGATTATTTAATTGATCACTCATGTATAGCTCTATTTGTTTTCCTTAGAAACCACTTTGAAGAAACCAAAGTATAGTACAACAACCATTGATAATTTCCTACCATTTTTGTCTGTAACTCACTGTTATTTGTCTATTTGTTTTCCTGAGAAACTATCTTGAAGATACCAATAGGTAAAATAACAACCATTGATAGTGTCCTACCACTTTGTCTGTAATTTGGTAAATTCTCCTATTAGTATGTTATCCTTCTTTTACTCTTTTAAATTAAAAAAAAAAAAAAATGCACCAGTTAGGGGTAGGGCTGCAGCTCAGTGGAAGAATGTTTGTCTAGCATTCATGAGAGCCTAGGTTTGATCCTTAGTATGCACACACACACACACACACACACACACACACACACACACACACACAAGCACAACTCACCATTTAAAGAAGGAGAAGGAATGCATCTTAGAAAGCCCTGTTTCTCTATAGAAGGAGAAGCCAGCATTCCAGAGATTCTTGAAAGAATTCTGCTGCTGTCACCAGCCCACCGTCCTCTCTGGAGCCTTTTCTGAAGACAGTGGCTTTCACTTAAACTTGTACACCTCTCTCCAGGGCTCTGCTACACCCTTTCCTTCTAATTTTCCTTTCCTGCACCACGCCCCATCTCGGGCAACAAAAGGCTAAGCATTCTTTTCATAAACCAATTTTCTTTTCTTTTCTTTTTTTTGTTTCTTTGTCTTTTTAAAACAGGGTTTCAGGGGCTGGGGATTTAGCTCAGTGGCACAGCAGCTGCCTGGTAAGCACAAAGTTGTGAGTTCAATTCCCAGTACCAGGAAAAAAAACCAAAAAACAAAAAAAGATTATGCCAGGTGTGGTGGCACACACCTGTAATCCTGGCACTCGGGAGCCTGAGACAGGAGGATCATTTCAAGTTAGAGACCAGCCTGGGCTACAATGTGAGTCTCAAAAAGAGCCCCACCCCACAAAAAAAAAAATAAATAAACAAAAATAAACAGGGTTTCCTATGTAGTTCAGGGTGCCCTGGACTCACTATGTAGCCCAGGATGCCCTTGAACTTGCAGTGACCCTCCTGCCTCAGATTCCCAAGTACTGGGATTACAGATGTGCACCACCATGCTCAGCTTGTTAGCTATTTTTCTATTATCATTGTTTATTGAGTTTTTTATACTCGGAAGGTGATAATGGAACCTTACATGTGTTTATTTATTTTACTTGAGGATGCATTATTTTAGGAAGGTTTTTTCTATACTTCTGTTTAGGATAGACAAGGAATATAGTTGAAAATGAGAAAAGGTAAGTAGGATTTATAGTAGAGGATGAAGCCAGGCATAATGGGGAACACCTGTAATCCCAGCGCTGGGGAGACTGAGGCAGGAGGATTATTGTGAGTTGGAGGTGAGCCTGGGCTAATAGCCGCCTGAACTACATAGTGAAACCTTGTTTCAAAACGCCCCCCATGACAGAGGTGGAGGGGGAAGAGGATTGAGGAAGAAAAGGAAGCAGGAGGATGAAAGGGATGAAAAGTTGTAAGAATTGGGTGAACCTCTGTGTACATTTTCTTTGTGATTTATGTATAAGGATGAGCTTAAATAAAGGTTTTACAGTGATGAAGTCACTCTTACCTTAGTTTCCCTACTAGAGAATTGTTGAAAGTAACATTCCCTGCGGCTGGGCCCACAGTCTGTGGCCGTCCTCTCTCTCCCTCGTCTGTCTACCTCTGCACTAAGTGCGCTACCACGGCCAGCTTAAGTTTTTGAGAATTAACTTTTTAAAAAGGAACTGAAGCAGTCATATTTGTGGCTGTCCTGGCTTTCCGCACGGCCGCTGCTCTGGGTCCTCCAGGGTGCTCTCTTCCTTGCCTTTTCCTCTTTTACTCCGCCCAAGCTCACTCTGCAGAGCTAGTTTCTCCCTCACTCTTCCTCTTACTTTCGCAAATAAACTGTTAGAAAAGGTCCTATTGTGAATGATATTTGTATTACTGCTTATAAAGCACTCAATAAATTTTTCACTACAACATTTTTCATTTTTCAGAGTAACTTAGTTGTCATTTTTTTTTGTCTTGGGGCAACTTTCTTTTCTTCACAAAAACTCAAAGACTCTGTACAAGTTTGCTCTTATTTCCTTCCTGTTCACCAGTGAGTTTGAAGTGGGTATAGGGGAGAATGCAAAATAATACACATAAAATGTCCAGACCCCAATTAACTGACAGTGGATCCTCAGATAAAACATATCCTCCGCATATAGTAATGCAGAACTGGAAGTGTCCAGACCAGTTACAGGTGACTGAGGAAGGGTTCCCAATGACCCAAGAAATGCGTACACTCACCATAAAAGCGATCACTGCACAGCAGCGCCCGGAGCACAGCAGAAATGACCGGGGCCCATGTACTCCTCCCTCTCCAAACGCCGAAGCAAAGGAGGGCACAGCGACCAGCAACGTGGCGCGTGACATTGGAGCCTGATGGTACAGCAACTGCGTTGAGTTTACATGCAGCTCATGCTGTTTGGCCCCTCCACACACTTGACAAAGAGATGTAACTGAAACACCAAGAGCAGCCAACACCATTCCAAGGAATTAAACCTCACATGGTATAAGAATTTAGGGTTACACCTAACATGTTACAGCAGTCAGCACCAGGTGAGGTCCTGTGGAGAAGCTCTTCTGGTCGCACGGGTCTGGATGGCTGTACTTGCTGGCATGACCATGGCCTGGCCAGCTGCTGAGTGTCCCTGGTGTTGTTCTGCTAAGAGAGGTTGGTGAAGACCACAAAGCCACCGAAGCTCAGAGCCAGGAGGAGGAGCTTGGAGGGTGGCAGATGTTGGGGGGCCAAGATGTCCAGTTCTGGCAGATGTACAAGCCCAGCCAGGTGACCACGACCTGCACCAGGGTCAGGCTCATGCTGGGGAAACTGTGGTGCACACAGATCCATTTGTTGAGGAATAGGATGCAGACGGACACCAGCAGGTTGAACAGGAGCACAGCGGCCATTCTCCCATGGCCCGAACTCACTTGGGCAGAGATTCCAAAGCCCCTGCACACCCCCACACTGGGCCATCCAGCCTCAGAGGGGCAGGTGACTAGTGTCCTATGCTGTCCCTCCGCCACTGCATCCTCACAGACACCAGTCTCCCCGCTCCAGCCAGGGGGAGGTGAGCACCAGTCTAGTTACAGGGGAGAAGTGGCCACTGCCACCTCCATGCACACTCTCTCTGCCACGGAGAATGGCTCTTTGGGGTTTTTGTTTTGTTTTGTTTTGTTGAGACAGGCTATCACTATGTAATTCACTCTACCCTTGAACTCACTACGTAGTCCAGGCTGGCCT